ATACTCTGAACAGTCGTTCCACTCTTTCAGCAGTGGGATAAAATGTTGGATTTTCAGAGTAAATTTTTATTTACAAATTGTGATGGGACCCATTGAAGTGGCACTTCACAACTCACGTGAGCGGTAAAGGAATTGGGTTCCTATGTATCCTTCTGTGCATGTGTTCAAGTAGTTCTTCCTTCCATGCCTTTCTTTTGACCTGCCAGACGCCTAATGCAAATGCAGCCGCAGGAATTGTCTGTAGTCAAAGGGCAGTAATTAAACATCATAGCGGCAGTCAGCAATCTTGATCAAGTCGAGAAATTTTACCTTGCCAAGAGACAACCCCAAAAGACTGTCTAAGACTGTCAATAAAATACAAAAGTTGTATCAACTCACCAACATAAACAATGCTCGTGGAGGTATGCCTTTGGCTTGACCTGGATTGACTGGTCTTTGCAAAGTAGCCATGGTACGTTGAAAATATGCATTCCAGAGGTACTTCTTACAGCCATTGTGATTTATGGGTTTCTGAATCAAAACGCAGTTTTAAAATATTAATTAACCAAACTGATCTAGCATTATTTCTGACATTATTACACAATATTGCACATCAATACGAAATGACTCGTTATGAATGAACATATTTAAAATACTGAAAGTTCTCTCTCTGTAATCGTTGGCACCATTCATAACTTACTTGTGCAAATGAATTTAACTCAGATGAACATAACCTGAGCAGAGGCCCCCCAAAAAGCGATGTGCTTCGCGATCGAATCATGACAGGGTCTGGTTGTGCATGAAGCAAGAAGATGATTTCAAAATAATTGATCTCTGGTTTCAGGACTTGTACAAAGCTCTCTCAAGAGGTGAAACGCCGCGAAAAGTCGGCCTCTCAGCTCGGGCTTCTGCTTTAAGTACAGCAACTTGGGGTAGTTACGTCACAGCCGGCTGCGCTGCAGTCAGCCTGCAGCTGCGAGGACCGCAACGCGGCCAACACGCGCGTACGCTGGGTTGCCTACCCGGTACGGCGTTTGGAGGGCAACCCGAGTACGAGACGGCAGAACAAAGGGTTGTGGGAAGGGGGTGGGGGGTTGACCCATTTCTTCCCGCAGGGGCCGCGCCGCTGCTGCTGCTGGGGCGCTGGGGCTGGGTCCCAATCGTTACGGCAGCACTTGCGGCAGCAGGGCACCGGGGGGCGGAAGGGGGAGGGGGTGCACCGAGGCCGTCGTAGCAGCAAAGTGGACCTAATTTGCTTCGGATTTCACGTTGCTCTAGTTATGCAGAGTACCAATAAGGCGAGAATGCCGAAAGTGTGCTGAGCCTACTAATATGCGTGTTGGGTATAGAGTAAGAGTGATCTCGGGGAAGTCCCAACCTAGATCGCCCTCGCCTCTCAGCAGCAGGTCCCTTCCCTGATTGGACTGGGTCCATCAATTGCAAGTGGCCCGTCGTCTTCTGCGGATCTGTTCGTTGCTGTATGGCTGTGTCCTGTACAGAATGGGGCCGACATGGCCGTGATCCAGACAAAGACCCTCGGTTGCCATGGGGATGGGAGATGGGGCCGGAGCGCGCCCCAGGAGGAAGACCGCGGGCTTGAGGTCGGGCTTGAGGCCGGGCTTGAGGCTGGGCTCGAGGCCAGGCTGGAGGCTGGGCAGGGGCTGGAGATCTGGAGGACGTGCTGGAGGACGAGATGGAGGACGGACAGGAGGTGGGGGTATATGGGGAGGATGGGCTGGAGGACGAGGCATCTGGGTTGGAGAGAGCTGCAGGACACGGCAAGCCAGGCCGCGAGGGGTGGCGCTGGAGGAGCTGGGAGGAGGAGAGAGGGAGGGGCGCTGCCGAGGCACTGCGCCACGCAGCAGCATCGATCCAAACGAGCTGGGGCCGTATTGCCGTCGCTGGAGAAGAGGAAGAACGGGGGAGGAATGCTGGAGGCTGACTCAGGTGTGCCCCTCGCCCGCCACGCCCGAGCCGAGCTGGCACACCTCATAATAACGCCGTCTGGAGTCAAATCTCTACTACCCCCGCTGGAGAAGTTCCGAGTGCGTGCCGGCATGCGGAGGGGGAGTCCACGACCGGGAGTGCGGCCTCGAGGACTTGCTTGAGCCCGCTTGAGCCGATTTTAAGCCCCCGCCCGGGAAACTTGCTCTGGAGCTGATTCGGTATGGGGGCTGCTGCTGCTGCTGCTGGAGAGTGCTCGCCGCGCAGCACCCTGGCTCCCACCCCCTGCCCGCTGGGGGCGCGGCGGGGTCGGGCCGAGATGCTCGAGCCCCGCGGGATGGGATCTGGGGCAGCCGATTTGAGCGGGCTTGCAGAGGGTCCCCACCCCGCCACCG